TGAAGGAATAGAGAAAGGGATTGCAAATAGTAAATATGTACAAATATCTCTGTGTTTAAACGTAATACAAAGTGAAAAGCGAAAGAAGAAAAAAAAACGCCTACACACTCATTGTGTTCTTAATTGTATACGTTGTAGTAATATATTGTAGATAGTATAATGTAGTGCATATATTAGTATATATACAGTATATATCTATAAAGATACACACATACACTGTACATATATATATATATATATATATATATATATATGTACATGCTGTATAATGTCTATATTAGAATAAACACAGTACTAAGTAAATTAGAGACTTGGGGGTTTGTCAAAATATATAAATACGACATTAATTAATGAGCGTACGTGTAAGAAGAGTACAGAAATAAATTCTACATGATATTTATCCTGCATCAATGTATAGGTCGATGTTAGGAAATAAATAAAAATATATATAAACTAGACGTATATACAACTATTCGGTATAGATGGGAATGAGTTTAAGAAGATGATGTGATATATGCATGTTTACAAGGTATATAGAAGATATACGGATATACCGTATATGCACCTTATTTACATATAGCTATTTGCTCAATTATAGCATTTACAAACAGTAAGCGGTGAAAAAACAAACTTAAATTCTACCTACTTAGACTGTTTATACAAATACACCAATTAATCATTAATTGATATGGTTATGTTAAACCGTTCAAGGTCAGAGTTGGAAAAATGCAAAGAGAAACGTTCTCCGTCTAGGTGTCGCTTCACTTGCTATAAAGTCAGCGCCTCCACACTTTCTGACATCTGACAAACAAAGAGATCGGTTTTTTAAAATCGCATTGCCATTCTATTAGACAAGTACACAATTACCCGAAATGGGGGAGACGCTAACCAAATGCGGAAGAGGAGAAGATACACCGCGTAAGTTTTTCAGAAAATTCTCCTTCCTTCTAATCATTGTCGCATCGATTTGCTACTATGTCGCCTAATTACTTGGTGTCAGTCAGTACTGTTTGCAGACGGATACTGCAAGATCTGCAATAGGTTTATGTAATTTGAGTGCTTCTAGTCTGAGATCTTGGATTCTTAGCATTTTTCGTCCGTAGTGTGTTTACGATTGGCGCGAGTCGAGTCGGTGATTAATGGCTGTTGTTTGTCATGGAGAGATAAACAGATAATATTATTTGTAGGGTAAATATAGGCATTGTTTTTCGCCTCTGTGTATGCTAAAAACGTTTGCGTAAATATTGTCAAATAACTTTTACCAGTTTATTCGTGTAGATTAATTCTCCTAGAGTAATTACCTGTAATTAAGTAAAATGTAAACAAACTTAACATTTTATCTCTTTCAAGCCCAAATATATCTTCAATTCTTTCCCTTTTCCTTTTCCCCTCTCTTCCCTCCACTATACACTATTTGTTTTTTGTTTTTCCTTTTTTATCCTATTCTATTGACTAAATATTTCCTCTTTTTATTCTTCTCATCTTCTCACTTTCTCTGCCTCCATCATCTTTTCATCCTCTTCATTCTTCATTTTCTCATTCTTAATTATCTCGCCGTCGTCGTCGTCGTCGTCGTCCGCTACTTCTTCTTCTTCTTCTTCATCCTCCTCCTCCGCATCCTCGTTCTTTCTCTCTTCTCCTTTCTCCCCTCCTCCTCAAGCCACCCACCAACAATCGTATTACATTTTATTTTCTCCTACTCTGTCCTTTATTTTCTCTTCCTGCAATTTCTAAGTAATAAAAATAGTTTGTCACGGGTGACAAACGACAAAACTAGTCGTTTATTATCCGCCTCAAAACCCATTGCAAACTCTCAACAAATCACAATTAGGAAAAAGGAGAAAACAACTCTTGAGCTAGTTCTTTTCTTTATGGGGGTTCCACATGCTGAGAAAACTGTTATAGAGCACTTTCATTAATTCTACTTTCGATTTGATATTTTTGGTTACCAAGTAATTTCTTGATTACAAAGAATTGCTGTTTGATTTCGTATTTAATTTTTTAACTTGAATTTTGTTACGACGATTATTGAAAGAATTTCTTTTCTCAGCCTATTCAAATCTTTTTCCGCTATTTGTTCTCTTCCGAGTGCCTGGATTAGTTTTTTTTTTCGTTTTTTTCCCCATATACTAACCAAAGCCTATTGAAACCTTTCTATACAAACAGATGTTTTACTTTGGTCAAGTGTATAGTTTGGAGAATATTATTATATTTATATATATATATAGATATATTACTAATATATATATATATATATCTTGTTTATTTCCTACATTTATTTATACAATGCACACATTTTAAGCGATAATCAATCGTGTCCTATTTAATTTACATCATGGATGAACAAGTACACAAGTGGTTTATCACGTAGTCACGTGTCATTTGTTTGTTGCTAAATTTGGCTTAAAATGCTAACGATGTAATGAGCAATAACGGAAACGACAACTTTTACTAAGGAAATTAAGCCTGGTTATTGAAATATAATCACATATATTTCGTAGATAGCGCTGTTTTAGCGAGGGTTGATTAGAAATTTAGTTTAGAAATATTGTAGTTGAATAGGAAGAGAAGCGCGCTGTTTTGATTTAAAAGCGCGGAATATTTACATTTGATTTATATTCTTTTCTTTCTTTTTTCATAATGAAAAACTAATACATTTTGCAACTTTTATGTATTTTTCCCGTCTCTTTAATCTCTATACAATATTTTACCAAGTTTATTAGGCATGTAAAGTACAAGTAGACTTGTATACAGTACATAATGTATTTGCAGTAGTTTGTGCAGTAGTTCGTGCAGTCTATATAGTATACAGATATTTATGCTATATATAAATATATATAATTGCTTATGCATGTATATGTGTGTACAGTATGCGTAGATATATAAATATATATATATATATATAGTGTATCTCTTATACTGTCCATACTTCTGTATGAGAAAATAAGGCAACAGGCTGTAGGCAACAGGATAATCGTAGGTGAAAAGAGAGTCATTTAAAGTGGCTAGTTGTACGTATTCTTATCAGAGCGCGTGCCTACATGAGGACATACAGAAGGGACCTCATTTGTCCAACCAATCTATGTACGTTTTGCCCGCAATTTCTTTTCGTATTACTAGCGTTATTTAAAGGAGAATTTGATTGTGAATAAAATGTGATATTGGAGGAAAAGAACATTTAAAAGTGCTTGTATTTTTTTAATTAATTGAGACGAAAGAAGCTGAGATGCGATGGACCAAGAACTGGGATGATGAAAAATATCGGCTTTCCTTCCAAGCAATAGTCCTATACCGTCTCTTGCGATAACAATGTGGCTAATAAGCGAATTAATTGTAAATCATATGTTGGCGTTAATAGGGCCGTTTACAATTTTGTTTAAGAGATAAAAAATATTTCACACAGAAATAGATTCTTACAAAAGCCTTCTCTCCCTTCCCCCCTTCACCCGCTGTAAATGGATTTAACCGTCCAAGATGTAATCATCGCAACTGTATATTATGTTCCGTAGAACAGCAGATTCGTTAGTGCACTTTTCTTTTGTCTATAGCCAATATTTAAAGTATATCATTCTGCAATTATACAAATAGATAGTACATAGGGGAAGCACCTATATACAGTATATTCAGTGTACCAATCTATCCGAGCTTGTTGTGATGGTTGCTTTGAAAATACTGTGGTAACTGGTAACGTAGCTTGCTCAGCGTGGCGAGGGGCAGGCAAAATGAGGAAAACAAGCGGAAGCGCTCGCCTGTCGCTAACAGGAAAGAGAGGAAAAGAAAAGATACGAAATAGGCATATAAACATGTTTTAGGGCAAGAACAAATAGAAAAAGAAGATAATTCAGCATAAAAATTGAGATGAATGAAAAGGAGGCAATGCAGAGTTTAGTTTGTGCTACTTTAAGTTTATAATCAATTAACTCTGTCCGCTCTCTCACACGACCAAAAGCACAGCCTGAGGAGAGTCAGCTTTTAGCATACCCTATAGCATTCATTCGACTGGTTACATATTCTTTAAACGCTAATCCTCTCTTTTTCTTATCTCTCTCTCTCTCTCTCTCTCTCTCTGTCTCTCTTTCTCGTCTGCATTTCTTTTTTATTCTTTCCCGACAACTGTTTTCCTTCGCCATTTTCGTGGATTGGATTTCTTTAACAAAGAAGGTTTAGGAAACAAAACTTCCAACTAACCCTAGCCGACTAGCGTTACGCTAAAAAGAAACAAAATAGGCTTAGCTTGTACCACGAAAATATTACCATGTTCAAAAAAACAAAACGTATGAAATTGCATCCTTTATTATCTCTCCTTTCATGAACAGAAAACATCCTAACAAATTTAGTTGGGGGAGAAGCGTCGCTGGACGCCTTTAGCTGAAAAGAAAATAGATCCTAGTTTCGAGAAGATGGTATTATCTAAGGCAATTCGCTCTCCTCGAAAAACGCTTTGTGGGTTGAGTATCGCTCAAAAGATGCTACAAATTTAAAAGAGTGGCAAATTCGCCGTTGGGTGTCTAGAACGCTCTCTGAAACTGTTTAGGATTAAAAGGAGAAAGAGGAACATTTATTACTACGTAATTTATTCGTAATCAACGATATCAGGTGTGAAGTAAACGCTGGAAAAATTAGTGAGACAGTTTCGTTTAGGGAAAGAAATTAAAGCTGCTGTTGTAAAAGTGCTGCGAATAGATTGAAAAAAGGCCTATTTACGAGAATAGATAATAAGCCTATAACTTTTAGTAGAGTATGCAAGAACAAAAAAAAAAAGAATTCCATACGCATCTACTTAGTTACAAATAATTATTTAAATAAACGTTGTATATATCTTATGTACTTGAAATATCTGCATTTGTATTATATGTATAGATGAGTACAAGTGTGTGTGTGTGTGTGTGTGTGTGTGTGTGTGTATACACTATATATTAATATATATTAATACATATATATATATATATATATATATATATAAATTTTATATATATATCTATATATATACAGTATATATATATATAGATGTACATCTATATATGTAAATTTAGAAGACACTTGTGTCAGGTGCTGTACAGTACAGTATAGGTGTATAGATATACAGAGAGAGCAGGTGAAAAAAAACAAAGACTGTGAAAAAAAAGGCTTTGAACGCTTTTAATTGATTGTAGGATTTCTTTTGCTAGGTGAGGGGAATAAGGGGGAGGGAGGAAGGGAGGGGGGCAGGCGGGGGAATTTAAGATATATTTGCGATGTGTATGATAAATAAAGTAATGTGTTGGTTATATTTTTTTAGATTCACACGGCAACTCAAAGAAGCATCCTTCTGAGCAAATTCAACAACAAAAGGAAAAACAGGTTTGTATAACTAAATATATATATATATATATATAAAAGAAAAAAACCAGAGTAGAAATGGAAGCTCGTCTACGGCCGTTATCAGCAATCCATTCATAATTGCTACGCACTGACGCAAATTCGTTCTAAAAATAGAAACAATTCGCACTTTTCTCTTTTTACAGACTGAAGCCAACCCAGCCGACAGAGCTCCTTGTAACACAGGTATGAAATTTATTACTTTTTTTATATATATATCTTTCTCTTCTAACTGCTTAGTCAGTCAGTCTCTCTCTCTCTCCCATACCCTTCCAGCGAATTCTTCCTATTCACTTTTCTCTCTTTCCGCGTGACTCTCTCTCTCTCTTTGTCTATTCTTCTCATTCTGTCTCTATATTTGTACATAATAGTAAAATATGTGTGTTGCTCCCTCTATCTTTGACCATCTACTTAATGGGAAGAATAGAAGCAACTTGTCCAGCAATCTTTTTTTCAATCCATATTTAAACGGTGCGAAATCAATTTATCCGTGTTTTTTATATTGTATAAATATGCCATTAAACTCGAGTGTTTTCTAACTAACAAGAATTCAATAATCGAGTTGGGTAAAAACTACCAATAGCGCAATAATATTAAAGGAGAAGAAGAAAAAGAGGAAAAAACTGAAAAAAGAGAAGAAGGAAGAAGGGAAAAAAGAGAAATAATAATAAAAGAACTATAAATAAGAAAAAAAAGAAAATTTCATGGGAAAATAAGTTTTTTTTAAATACTTAACAATTTCGGCCTCTTTCTCTCTCTCTCTCTCTTTAAGCATTTAAGGGTCTATTTGATATTTTTACTCTTTTCTCTCTCTCTCTCTCTTTCCCTCTCTCTCTCTCCCATATACCCCCCACTCACTCCCCCACTCTCTTTCTTCTTCGTTTCCATCGAATCCGAGTGTGATGTTGGTTTTTTTCTAATTTTATATGTATGTATACTTATTGAGGGGCTTTGGTCAACGCGGTGCTGCGAGCGGATAATGGAAAATGTCTTGATGATACATCACCTATTAGAGGGAAACGGGTGCAAAGGGAATTAGGTGTGTTTTTGTGTAGACTCTTATCTATTCTTGTCGATTGTCATCTAGAAGAGGGTTAAAGAATAATATTGCGTCGAAGGATTAAGGTTGAAAAATTGACAGTGTTTTTTAGCTGGCTATTTACTATGAATAACAATCAAGAGTACTTTCTCGATATAACGCTATAGACATTAAGTGCTTTATATTGATTAGTAAAAAATATGATAACGAGGTCTTAAAAAAGATTTTTATATAGGATTTATCCTACTACAGCTACCTGCTTATATCATTATTTTTCATACTACGCCATCTATGGTGTGTCTCTCAGTTAGTCTTGCTTTTCATTTATTTTCCGAAACGTGTGTGTTTGGCAAGTCAAGTTGTGTAATTTTCTGCATTGACACGTGCTGTCATACGCATACAATATATTATTTCAATTGCTAGTTTCCACTCAGCCAAAGCTCTATTTCCACACTCTGCCCTCCCTTACTTTTATTTTTCCATCTTTACTTCTCTCTCTCTCTCTCTTATAGCTCTACAGTTTCGTCCCTAGGCTTCAAATATAATACGAGATTTCTATATTTTTCTCTTCATTTCCCTTATTTATTTTCCTTTTTTTTAGTTTGTATTTAGTTAATTAATGTGATTGTAAAAATCGACAGAAGAACCTTCTTCTACACCTCAAGAAAAGATCAAACCGCCTATGATAAGGCAGATGTCTGGAGCCGAGATTGCTTTCAACTTAAAAGATGAGAAAGGGGATGTCGTCCCTGTAGAAATAGATGGCATAGAAGAGGAAGTTTGCGAAAGGACGCCAACACCAGAGAAGAAAGTCTCCATACAGCAAAGGGTATTAAAAGCCAGAAATTCCGAACAGCAAATGTCAATTATTGCGGTAAGGCTCGTTGCTGTAGCAACGAATTATAAGCATAAAAATCTAAATGAGATAATTCATAAATGAATGGCGAGAGACTATAAAGTAAGAAACGCTTATATAGGAGAGTGAATGATGCAGATGGTCCAGGCACACAGAAGCTAGAGTAGGGAGCTAGGAAAAGAGGTTGAGGGAAGAAGGGGTAGAGTGATTTTCGGCTATATAGGCCAAACACTTCTAGTATTACATTGATCAAAAGATCATGTAGAAATAAGCTAAATTCGTCAAATAACGTGAGCAATTTCTTTGTGAAGAGGAAGAAAAAAGGAAAAATTCTTCTCTATTATTAAGTTTGAAAAAAACGATTGAAAAGAAGAAAGAACTACGAAAGTCAAAAGTATATGATCTCGAAAGACAAGCTCAATATACAGGGATAGAAAAGAGATAGTCTAGTCCAAATGGACAGTTAAGTTTGAGAAGTGAAAATGGGGCAAAGAGCTAGATAGATAGATAGATAGATAGATGGATCGTTGGATATAGAAACACCGCGAGAGAGAGAGAGAGAGAGAGAGAGAGAGAGAGAGAGAGAAAGAAAGAGTGAAAGAGACAGATATATATACAGGCAGACAGAAAACAACGAATGTGCTTTATGAAGCTCTAGTAAATCAGTCCAATATCAGAGGGAGAAAATGTTAAATAAAAAAATTTCTGTTCGATTGGCATAGAATAAATTCGAATGACTCAGAATGTTATAGCCGAACCGGAAAGACTTTGTAAAATAACTTAGAAAGAGATAAAATTGAAGGCATTTGTTAATTCAATCTTAATTATATCTCATTGAGTATAAACGAATACGATTAAGTCCAAAAGGCGACAAAGACTGCTTCCTAACTCAATGAATCAATGTAGAAATAAAGGTATATATTATATTAATATATATAATAGTTCAAGGGACATAGTACGCTTGGAGAGAGAGAATTATTAAGAGACAGACAGGCAGAGGGATAACAAATGTGCAAGTATGCAGATGCTGTATATATGAGTGCGTGTGGGAGAGATAGAAGAAGAAAGACAGATACGAGAGGCTATGAGACAAAGACAGCAGAAAGAAAAGTTGATATGATCATTGATCTGCAGGAATACTTTACAGAGCAACGCCTAATTAAGCTTACGAATATTAAGAGTTTAATGAAACATTACTCTTCTAATTAACTTGATATGCTTCTTACATTTATTTTTTACTAGGCATCGAGAGAAAATAGAAAACAGGAGTGGGTCGAGTTGCTAGACGAGCATGCGCAGATTGTTAATGAAGTTAATTGCCTAGAGGGCGTTGGCGATAAAGAAAATATAAATGGGCCGTCAGATGGTGCTGCGCAGATATCTTGAAACTCCCAACGACTCTAGACCTCTGTACTTTTAGTGCCTTGTCTAGCAAGGTTCTGGAGTTGCTAAAAGCACTTGTCTTAATTTGTGACATTCCAGATATCGTTCTCGTGTTTTTTCAACTGACACTCATTAAGTCTAGGTGCTGACTGGAATAGCGCTGTTAATATCATCATAAACCTATAAAAACAACATTTACAACAAAGAAACAAACAAAAGAAAGAAACAAACAAATAAACAAATAGGCAAGCAGGCAAACAACAAATTACAAAAAAAACAACACAAAATAATAATAATAATAACAATAAATCAAACAACAGTAATAACGTTATTAATCATTATGATAATAGCAAGTCAATCTCCTTTCATCTATTCAAATGATCAACAAAATCTATTAATACAAATGTTCATATGTTCTTTATAATGAATGCTATTTAATTGTTGTACTTTGCTCCTCTTTATGCAAAGTCTATATGACAAAAAGAATATAACATACTCCGATACTGTATGGGCCAACCAATGAAATCGTTCCATACGAAAAAGCCACTAGTTGATCTCATTTGTCTGTCACTCTGTCCGCCCGCCTGTCTATAGGTCTCTTTCTGTCTGTTTGTCTGTCTGTCTGTGTGTGTGTGTGCGTGTGTGTGTGTGTGTGAGTATGTGTCTCCTTACTCATCTCTATTCGTTATCTAGCTCACTCTCCTCAGTTTCCCGGTCGTTTCGCTGTTCGATCGGTCTATTAGCTTTACTTGTTGAAAAAAAAAGTCTCTCCGCCAATAAAGGCGTTACAAAAGATTTCTAAGAAGATTGTCTTCTTGTGTAATTAAACGGTTAATCTGCTTATTTAGCTAAGGCTAGTGTTTAATCGACAAAGCGATTGTCAGCATTATTTATGATTTTGTGCTCAACTTTTTTGGCTTACTAGCATTTTGAGAAAGAGGCGGAGAGATAGAAAGAGAAAAAAGGAGGAATTAAGAGGCAGGAAGAAAGGATGAAAAGTGGGCAAAGCTGTTTTAGGTTGAAATTTTGAAACAAGTTGTCTAGGTGAATGGAAAATATCAATATTACCCCATCGATAGTTAGTGCTCAATTACAGTCTTTACCTTGTACGGATGACCCCTCTCTCTGTCTGTCTGTCTGTCTCTCTTTCTTTCTATCTTTTTCTTTCTCTCTCTTTCGTTTGCTTCCAAATGGAACTATTCTTTTTGTTGGAGAGAATCAATGTGATATATAGCCGATATCAAACCTTCTACTCGACGATAACTTTCTTATGTAGCCTTATAAAATAATCATAGCTATTCTCTCTAGGTCAATGAAAATACTATACAGACTAGCGGGCCTACATCTTTTAAAGAATAGGATCGATTACCCTTATAGAATAATTTTCTTTTTTTGAAAGGGCAAGAATTGATCGTTTTTCGACGTTAGCAACGCCAGATATACGCACTACCGATTATTAATGCTAATTTTATAGTGTACGATAGTAATTTATCCAAAGTAAATCTACAGATACCTTGCCGCTAATATGGAAATTAGATAGGACACTGTGTCCTTTAACGGGGACGAGCCTGATCGGGGTCATTTTTTCGATTAAGCTATTATTTGCCTTTAGCCTGTTGGCTTGGAAGTTGGATAACAATTGTCAAATGATATCCCTGCAACCTTTAGTTATATCGTTGCAATTTGTCCATAATTTAAGAAGCTTTCTTCTTCGGGCTGGCTGCGAGGGAAGCCAACGAAAGCTAGTCTATAATTATCGTAGTAGTGAAGGAGTAATCTAAATGGTTGGAGATGAAAATAATAAAAAAAGGGTATTAGAAAAGAGAGAATAAGAAGAGGACGAACAACGGCAATGATGTTGACGACGTTTTGGGGGTTATGGGGGCGGTGGGGGAGGAAGAAAAGAACGTAGAACAATTATTAGATGTTTATATTAAATAGTTACAAAAGAAGACAGAAATGATGAAAATATATCAAATAGTTAAAGAATAATAACTGATTTAGTTAATTTTCGTTTCCTCTTTTATATAATTCTATAATAAATTTGCTGTTGTTACTGATGTAGTTATTTAACTGCTGCTGCCGCTGTTATTAATATTATTATTATCATTATTATAATATCATTATCATTATCGTTGTCGTTTAGACATTACACGCGTTAATACTGCTATCTTCTTCGCTCACTGCAAAGATTATCTTCTCCAAGTGTTCACTGTCAGAAATAAGTTCTAAAATATTGAGTAAGGTGACCTTATCCGCTTTGATAAAGGTGTCTAGCTCTTCTAAATTCAATTTTGTAAGCAAGCTATGGGCATGATTGGCATAAGCAGTTGTTAAACTCCTTCGTATTTTGTTAGACAGTCCGGATTGAATGGCTTCGGTTGGGAGCTCGTTTAGAAATTCATCAATTGCGTTCTTTGGTAGGACGGGAATATTGATCTCTTTTATTCTTTCGATATCACTCAACCGATTCTTAGTGTTAAAATGAGCTTCGTTCGGTTTGTGCTCCTCGTTAGAGCAGTCCACCAAGGCAAATGATCCCAGAAGACTAGTGTTAACAATGCAGTCCTTCTTTAATACTGTCCACGAAAAGTTTTCTTCGCTGGCTATCTGCCAGTTGGGTTTGGAGGCGAATTGGTGTTTCGAATGGATAAGCTTCAGAGGTCCAATAGGAGAAATTGGTAAGGAGAAGATGGCTTTAGTTAATTGCGTTTCATTTGTAGTAAGATATATTTGAAAGATGGGAGAGACAAGTTCTCCAAAGTTCGGAGCATCCTTAATATTCCAACTGAGAATTAAAACAATTGAACAATTTCTTGTAACTGAATTCTGCGGAATAAAAACTTTAACGTTATAGTCATCGAAAATTAATTTTCCTCCTTCGGGCGTCACTCTGAACTTTTTAAACAATCTCGATTTGGACATTTCTTGAAAGAGTTTTTTGTTTATAGATAAGGCTGTTTCTAGTTTATTCTCTTCTTTAATTGGTGGCAGTCTGGCACTTTCAGAAAGGCTTATCTTTGGTAAGGCAGAGGGTCTGAGAACTGGAAAGGTTAAAGGTCTGGAAACTGGACTGAAATCCTTGTAAAGGCATAGACGAAGGATATAAACAACACATTTTCTTTTTTTTCATTAACTTATCCTTTATAGGAGAAAAAAAAAGAAAAGAAATGATAGAAGAAAATGAAAAATAGACAAAAATCTTTTATTTTCTTGATCGGGCTGGCAAGCAGGAGGGATTTAGTTGATTAAAAGCTTTCATAGCCCTTCTGAAAGAACTTATAAGTATATTTTAGAGCCTGTTCAGGACTAATAATCCAATAATGAAGGGTAGAAGTTGAACGTTGTTAAATTAGCCAGGCGAATGTCTTATCCTTTTTATCATATAGATCCGTGTCAATTGTACACCTAAAGGAGGCTCAAAAGGGAGAGGTGATAGATAGACGAAAGGGGGAAGAGATAGGAGAGAGAGAGAGAGAGAGAGAGAGAGCGTTAAAGAAAATGGAAATATAGTCCAAGCAATGAATTATATATATTAGTTATATATAGTATAAGAATATAATATATATATATATATATATTACTAATATATATATAATTCCAAGTAAGGTTAATAAAGAAAATATAAAACTTTTCTAAATAAAATAGTAATTGAATATTCTTTCGTCATGCCTTTGTTTGTAGTCTTATGGCGGTCAAAGAATCTGTTTCAGAGTCATTTGAAGTGATACTAGTTGAAGCCCTGCTTTTCTTTGCATACGTTTGTCTTTCTAATAAACTTTTGTTCACCTCTTTTAATTGTCCAATCAAATTCTTCTGCCTAGTATCCTGCTGTTTCAACTCTTGATTCTCTTTAACAATCTCTTCAAACATGCTAATCATTTGCTCGACCTCGCAATCTGCAACATTCAACAATTGACCTAATTTTGTCTTAACATTTTTAATTTTCCTAGCAGCAGAGATGGTTTTTTGCAATGATCTAATTGTCTTATCAAATGTGGCATCAGAAGGCAGATTCAAGAGCTGTTTAACAGCGCCGATTTCGGCTTGTCGTATCGAGTTCTCGTCCATATTCCAACTGGCGTAGCAACCGTCTATAGCGCTGCTGCTTTCTCTCTATAGAGATTATTGAACGTTGTGTTTGCATTCATATTATTATTCGCGTAATTTTTTATTTGGAGCAAATCTTGCTTGAATGTAAATATGTTCGTTGTATTTTGACTAGATCTTTATTGAGTGTAGTGTAATTTGGTCGACTATTTTATATGTTTACTGTAAAAAATACTGTATTAATAAGCAAATTCGCTTACTCTATCATTTTAATGATTATCTTTTAGCAAATAGCCGACTCCTAGCCTTGCCATTTTCAAACAAGAATCCTTTCTAGCCCTTAATAATCCCTTCCTATATCGCCAATAAACAAGTAGGCTACTTTTCCATGCTCTTCGTCTTCCGCCTCCCTCGTTCTTCTTCTCGTTGCGACAATCCTCCTTACACCACTTTCTATTTCATTTTTGCCTTTTTATTTTATAAACAGACTTGTTTATCTTGCTTGAATTCATTTGACAGCTATATATTAGCCCAATAAAAATATGGTAGACCTACATAAGAATTCTTCGTAAGACTAAACAGCAGCAACAAGATAAGAGAGAGAGAGAGAGAGAGAGAGAACATTGGTATTTCCTTCTCAGCTCTTCCTTTTCCCTTTTCGTTAATTTCGTTTTCAATATGTACTGAAGTTTCATAAGAGTTAATTTAATAAAAGACCAATCAGCAATTATTGACTTAATTAACCGAGCAAATTTCGTCTAATAAACAGAGTGAAATGACATTTCACCTTTCTTTCCTTCTTCTATTGATTAAAATTCTTTCTTTTGCGTTTACTTTTGCATTTCAATTAACATTCCTTTACTCAACCGCTTTATTGACGGCGTTAACTCTTTCATACCCCTCGTCTTTAAAATTTGTTTCTTTTACACTTTTTTTTACCTCCTTCTCTCCCTCTACCCAATAATTCACTCATTCATTCATTCATTTAATTCTTTCTTTTTCCTGTCGAATTATTTGTCTCAATTCTTTTCATTTTCTTTTTAGTTTCCTAAATCTTAGGCTCTCTATACATTCTATTAATGCAATTAAAAATACAAACTTTATGCTTTTCCTCTTTTTTTCGGCTTTTACAACAAAGATGGCGTTAACGTAGAGGAAAGCGGTTTCTTTTATCTTTGCCATTGCATACGTCAATGTTTTTATCATTTCTTAACACATAGATTAGCTCTGTGAACATAACAATTTAATCGGCTTAATCAATTTAAAATCAGCCTATTTTCCTCTTCTTAAATTACTTGACTACAAATAGAACAACTGATAAAATAATTATTACAGCTAACATCCAGCTAAGACGATAGAGGTCTCTAGATGGCATTATCAACTTTGTTAAACGATGAAAAAAAGAAAGAGGAAAATATGAACATAGAGAGAGAGAGAGAGAGAGAGAGACAGAGAGAGAGAAAGAGAGAGTAGAATGTGTGGATTGCACCAGGGAGTTTATCGAGAGAAAAAAAAGATTAAAAGTGAGACAAAAGAGGGGGTGGGAGACAAATAGAGGTAACATGATAAGAAGATCAGGAATTCTTTTTAGTGAGAGAGGGGAGAGAAAATAAGCAATGAGGATGAAGATGAAGACGAAGACGAAGAAGAAGCAAAGTGAAACGTAGAAATAGAGAAAGAGAAAAAAAATGGGACAAGGCAAAAGGAAAAGGGAGAATAGGAGACATATAGAAAAGGGGGAAAGAGATGATTTCTAGAAAAAATGATGCTAGAAAATAAGACAAAACGTCGACATGACAGCAAGATGAATAAAAGAGAAAGAATGCTTTAGTTTGCTTATAGAATCGAATTGAAATATTTATTTGAGTTATAATTAAATATTTGATGATAGGAGTGTATTTTGATCGATTAGGCGTCGCAAATGTGTCGTATAATTTAAATATAATGAAACTAATGTCGATATTACCCACGCCCTTGATGTAAAATTCAAAAGTCTCCTCTATGCTGTTGACCCTTGAAGATGTACAGTTAATTAGCCATTTGTCTCTTCTTGGTATTTTTAGCAGGCAGGTTGTAAAATTTAATTGAACCAATAATTATTAATCTACAGTTCCTTTTATCATTTTCCCAATCGAATCGCAAATAGTCAACTCTGTTAACTTGAAAAGCCTCGCTCAATGCCACCTTCCCCGCCACCTTGAATTGATTGCGAAAGATATAGAGAAAGATGAATAGAATGAGTGTTACTTTCTTGAGGCTGTTTCAATAAAAGTTTGTGGTTTTTAACAATAATTCTCTATAAGCTGCTGCTGCTAACTGGAAAAAGTAAAAAGTCAACTTTAAACAATAGAGAGAAACTGTTAAAGAAGGTAAGAAGGTTGGTGTTGAAGGAGGAAAAAAGAAAAGAACAAAAAGAACAAAAAAGCTGTGGAAGGCTGATAAAGAGTAAGCGTGTGAAAATGGAAAAGAGATATGTTGCATAATTTAAAACTTATTCATTCCATGGGATGGATTATGATTACAAGGGGAAATATAAAGGATTTTAAGGGGCAAACAAATCGAATATGTATCCCTGTGTATGTGTGCATTTTACATATATTTGTATACTAGAATGAAAGAACTAATGATTGATTGAATGAATGAATAACGAGTGGATGAATAGATAAATTTATACACAGTATATACGCTATATTCATTCACATTTCAATATATAGAAATATTAATATAAACAAATGAATAAATAAACAAATGAACATTTAAAAGAGTTAGTTACAAAAAGAAGAATATCAATTTGTAGGGAAGGGACGTAAGGAGGAAAGAGAATGGTAAAATAGATATAGATTGATAGATAGATAGATTGATAGAAAGACGGAGAGAAGGAAAGAAGGAAAGAAAAAATTATATCAAAAGATTCGTGCTCTTTCACTGGAATGAATGTTTGTAATTCATAATTTTCCTTTGGCTAAATTATATTGGAATCAGGAAAAGATAAGGATGAAACTGTAGTAAATAACACGGATTACTAGCGGCTATGCTTTAAAGGCAAACGATTAATATAAAGAGTAGCCTACGCCTACATGACGTCTGTTTTAGCGTCTCTAGAGGGATACTTGCCAACGGGATGTGGCATCATTCTTCTCACTTGAACCTCTTTTACTTTCTACTTTAAAGGGCGCAGAATCAAATTTGCATAAATTTACAGAGACGAGCCAATCAGGTACTTTTTGCTACGACGTCATTTGTTGCAAACGTTTTGGCAAACGGACTTTAACCGACAAATCGCCAACATGAAGTTTGTTTTTCTAATTGTATTAATACTTATTCCTCTAAGTGACGCTTCTTTCTTCGATTTACCACAAGAAAATGGTAAGTTTTTCGAATCTCTTGAATAAACAAACTGTGTTTTGTGCAATAGTTTTCGTTCATCTTGTTTCTCATTTTTTTTCTTTCTTTATTTCTTTCTTTCTTCCTTCGTTTGCTTCGTTGCTTCCTTTTTTTCCTTCTCCCCTTCCCCTTCCCCCTTCCCCCATACCTGCCCCCTTCCCTCCTTGTCCACTCCTCGTGGTCCTTTGTTCCTATTGACACTTTCACATATCACCATCAAAAAGAAAACTAAAAACATTTAATACTATACTAGAAAAAGGTCTGACATTTGTCTACTTTTAATCTAAATACTATAGATGAAAAGTTACTGAATTGGGATACTTACGCTCGTCGTCCCCTTCAAAAAAAGAGTTCCGTTTCGTGGCTCTTGGCGGCCACATTGAAAATGTGCGAGAAACAGCCGGAAAAATGTGACGGAATGATTGGAAGGGACTAAAAGAAATAATCTATCGCCGTTTTTTCGTCTATTTCTTTAGTCTGTTGTTTTTATTTTCTTCTTCATCTTCTTCTTCTAGTCCTTCTACTTGTAGTTCTTCTTCGTCTTCTTCTTCTTCTTCTTCTTTATGGTTTTTTTCCCCACAATGAACTTGTGTTAAGGAAGATAAAAAAAATGGAAGCGATAAAAGTAAAAAGGTGAAGAAAAAAAGATGACAATTATTGATTATTTAGTTGATAATTCATTTATGATTTGTGGAGATTTACTATTGTTTTTCTTAGTTTTCTTGTTGCATTTTCATGTATATCTTTGATTGTTTTTTGTTTCGCAGACAAAAAATAAAACAAGTAAGATTTGTTGTCAGAAAAGAGTACTACTATAATAAATATACGGAAGATAACGACATACTCTATATAGTCTATCTTCTGCAATACTACTCTACTTTCAATTAGATGTTTCATTAACAACGCAAAGATCGAATGGTCAGAAAATTTTATTATAACATTGTTGGGAAAGGAATATTACTAAACATCTGTTGAATAGAGAGAAGACTAAGAGAGGCGGAAGGATGACAGATATACAATATGACTATTAGTAGATAATGTAGTGAAAGTAGTCGCCTTATCAACAACAATAACAATTACGATGATAGTTATAGTAGTGTTGGTTATTACAATTAGTACTATCAGTTGTTGTTATTGTTGTGATAGTAGTAATAGTGGTAGTAGCAGTAGTAGTAGTAGTAGTAGTTTTTAAATGAATCGATAATAAGACACGTAAGAAATATTTATTTTCTTTTGTATCATTTCTTCTCATTTCCAATCAATGTTAGTTAATTAATTGAAAACTTTTTCGACCTAGTTTTTTTGTAAAACTTAATCAAAAAAAAAATGATTCATAAACACCAATTGGAATGTCAGATTTCATTGCATTGTATTCTATAATTCTAAATGGTTCGCAGCAAAATATTTGATATATATATATATATAGATATATATATATATATATCATAATTCTATATTCATATATATTATTTCTATGAAATAGCTTCATTTTTCGTTTGCTAACTAACGCCATAGTTTTAATATTGAATTTTTCATATGTTGAAAGAAGGAAAAAAAATTCTCCTCTGCCATTTTACTTCTTTTTTTTTCGTTCCTCTAAACAACAATGAAGAAAGCTGACGGAGAAATTTTTTTCACAGACTTGTGTGGAGAAAGAGAAAGTAGCGCAAGATAGAGATCGAGCAGATAGCAAAGCCAAAAAAATTATATATACATACACACACACACATATATAAATATATATATACATATACATATATTATATACATATATATATATATATATATATATAAAGCCTTTTAAAATATTAGTTTCTTTTCTTTCTCTAGTTAAAATAGCAAAAAAAAATGTTTTTGTAAATATAATAAGCAATAAGAATATAAGCAAATAGAGCGAGCAGTCAGGCGGATAGAAAGAGAAAAAAAAAACGGCACAAAACAAAGCATTTAAATTACCACTTTTTTTTGATTTTTAGCAAAAAACCTTACATTTAAAAAATAAAAATGAAATATTCATAAATTTTATAAATATTTTCTCGAATTGGTTTCATCATCATCATCCTCATTATGAATTATGAATTATGATTATTATTAAATTTTTAATATTTTCTTCTTTTTTTTTTCTTTTTTCAATTCCCACCACCAATAATTTTTCTATTTCTTTGATTCTTTCTTTGCTTCTTTTACGACGAGTAGATCGTCTTCTGAACGTGCGTCGCCCGATCCTATTTTTGGTGGGGAGAGAAAGAATAAATCAATCAGCGTTCGAATATTATATTATATATTATATATTATATATATATATATATTAAGAGAAATAAAAAAAAACCAAATTTAGTGAATGAATATGTGTTGATGAATGATGAAATGTTAAATTTTCCTATTCGGAATAAGATGATAAGCAGCATTCGCATACATCTACATCTACTCATACAGACGCATGCCCAATTATGCATTGAACATGAACGAAAGAAGAGATAAAGAAATAAAGAGAACTAAACATAAAAAATTAAAAGAATGAAAGTTTACAAGTTCTATATTTAAATATTTGTTTTTTGCGGGTGTCTGGATTTAGGGTTAGGGTTAGGGTTAGGGTTAAGTGTCGTTCTACAGCAACAGAAAAAAAGAAAAAAAAACCAAATAAATTAGAGAATAAAATAACTCTTCGCTTTCTTTTCTTTTACTTTCTCTTCGTAGATTTAAAAGAATATTCATAAATAAACGATCGAAACATAAAGACAGAAGGAAACTCTTAGAAAATTGTGCATAGTAAATTATTTGTTTGTTTGTAGGTTGGTTGTTTGTTTTGTTTGTTTGCCTGCTTTGCTTGTTTTATTGGTAATTAAATTTTTTTTGCTGGCTACCTCATTCGACATATTGATCAACTTAGTAGTAATATTGGCTCCAACTCCGAATGAATCTATGTCAGTCTCGATGTCGTTTGGCCCTCCTCCTGCTCCTCTATGGCCGGCCCAAACCTATTATTGAACAATAATAAAACTCTCTCGTCTATTGCTGGCCGCCCCTTTTCTTTGTAGAGGCAATGCAGGGTTTTTTTTTGTTAATGGTTCAAACCTTGGCCTTTTGGGATGGTCTTAGAGAAAACGATGCAAAAGAGAAATCAATCCTTTTCTTAGGGTCGTTATCGATATTTCTTGTTAAACGCCATCCGCTTAAATCTTCGATCTTCTTGCCGGTGTTTTCCAGGGCAATGAATCTACCGTCAGCCGAGCATTCTGATATGGCAACTGGTCCCTTTGCGCTTCTTTGATAAGTGGTTTTGGCCGACATTTCTCCTTTGACCACTTGACTGACTTTTAAGGTGTCTGTAAAGTTAATAGTTCCTCTTTGTCTTTTAAATTATAAATAAGAATTCTTTATATTGTTTCTTATTTTTACTTTTTGTTCTTTTATTTTTTGTTTTGGAATTGTTTTTTTTGCTGTTTTTTGCTGGTTTTTTTCACATGTTTTTAAAGCAAATTTAAGTTATCATTTATAGTTTTGTTGTTTAGTTTAAAAAGGGAATAATCCTAACAAAACAACAACAAAAAAGAAAAATGCACTTAGTAAAACACACCAAAACAAAAAATCATCTTGTCTTATTAATATCTTTTTCGTTTCTCTAAAATACCTTAGAAGTTACTGTTTTTTGGGTTAAATTAGTTAAAATATATAACTAAAAGTGCTATCTCTTTTACGGGGTGCCTTCTAGTAGTTGTTCATCTTTAATTGTTTGTTTTTTTTTTGTTTATCACCTTTGTTAAACAAGAAACAACTAAAAAAAAACCATGAGTCTTTTTTAGTTATTAATTTCTCATTTTTTTTAAAAAAAAATTAAATTAAGACAAAAAAAAAGACCAAAAAATAAAATAAAAAGCATGTTTGTTTTAAAGGATTAAAGCCATGCAGAAAACTCTTGAAAGAGAGATAGAGAGATTTCAATACACGCATGTAAATATATGTATATATATATATATATATATATATATATATATATATATATTTATATGCGTCCGCATCTCTGAATTAAACATTCAACAATAACGTCATCAATAAGCTCTCTTCATTCTTCAGATTAAAGAAAACTGCTAATATAAATACTTATATATTAGCATATACCATATTGTATACAGTTAACTTTATCTGAAGGCGAATTGAACTTGGTGGTTTTATAACACAGCATTAACCTGCTGGTTGTTGAGTAGGCTTAGATTCTGTTGGTTTAACATCAGCCTTAGCGATAGAAGAAGTGGAAGTGGAAGATTTTAAAGCCTCTTCCGAAGCCTGACTAATTCCAGTCAGGGCACCGATCAACTGACTTATATCAGAGCTATGTTGTTGGTGCGATCTTTTGTTAGGCAGCGAAATAAAAAAAAGAAGCGTATGTTAGTAGAGTGAAGCATTTTTGTTCACATACCATCGTCGTCCATTCTTTGACTCGCTCTGGTTTGCGTGTCAATGAACGATTCAACGACTTGACGAAGACCAACTCTATGAACATTTAATTAATACATTAAATATTATAATTATAGTTTCTTTTAACGCTTTCAATGCTTTTCAATTTTGTATATTATTTTAATTTCAATTCGCCAGATGGCGAAAGTGAAACCTATCGACTAAAAGGTAGAGCTAGCAGCCTGCATTTTTTTTCTCCCCTTTCTGCTTAATTAATCCGGTTTGGTGCATACGTATTGATATTTAATCGAGGTTCGCTTGTTGTAATGCAAACGCACGGAATAAATCGACAATAAACTTCTTTTTTATATTGTAGATATGTCCTTGTTATAGGTGGCGTTGGTGAAATAAAGAATAGAAAAACCTGGCGAAATAGACTGATAGGTAGACGAAGAAGAAGAAGCCCAGATAAAGATTATCTATACTGTATATAGTTTTTCAAATTTTTGCGCTGCATTACATCGAAATCGCTAATGAACCGTCGTATAATTAATATAGTTGTAATTAACTATAGACTTTGAAATCTATGATCATCCTAAATGAGGTTATGCACTCGGTCTTTTCTTCTCTCTTTCTTTCTTTCTTTCTCTCGTCCTTTTTGTTCAAACTTTTGCTGGCTGCCGCCACATAGAAGTACAAATCAAAGGAGAAGAGAACTAAAAGAAGAGGAGGAACTTTAAGTAAAAGAAAGTCCCCTCTATGCTCTTTCTTTAGATATTAAACTCGTCTTATATAAAATATTTATCTTTGGGGATCGCTAGAGAAGGGCAAAATAAATTGACACGTTCCTTCTTCTTCTGCTTCTTCTTCTTTTCCTCTTTTTTTAATTTTCTCCATTTCTCCTTGTCACCAAAACCGTCCAATACAGAAATAGGGAGATAAATTTAAGACGAAGACGGACAGACGATACAACGAAGAATATATTAAAAAGTATTCCACTAACCTATTCTCCTCTCCTTCGAGCAGTTTTCTGTAAGCAGCAATCTCCAACTCCAAGCCAAGCTTTGTATCCATAATGTTTTGTAATTCTTTCAGAATGGCTTCCATTTCTGCTCTTAGTTTGGCAACCTCTTGCTTCAACTCGTCGTTCTCCTGTTGCCATTCTCTCTCCTTCTCCTCGTAATCTCTTCTTAGGCTGTCGCACTCCTTCTCTAACATGGCATTTCTTGCTTCCAGATCGGCCAATTTCGACCTCATATCTGACAGTTGTTGCTTCAAGCGTTTCGACTCCTCCTTTGCATGTTGTGTTTCCATATTTTGACGAGTAGCCCCGGTGCGGAATTCTTGCATCTGTCAAAATTAGAATGAGTTGAAGGGACGAATGGTACATCGTCTATATATAATTTCTGCTGTCTCATCAACGCAATTACTGCGTTAATAGAAACGGTAGGACTAGTTTTTATTGCGGCAAAAAAAATCAATAGACGAATTAGATAGACGTAGGCCTGGTAAAAAGACACCAGCGTCACTGACCTTGAGGTTGTAGTATGTTTCCAACTCTCCGCGCATCAATTCTAATTTCTCGTCGTACGTGTTGGAGATTTCTCTGAGACATTGGGCCATTTCGTTCTTCCAGAATTCTCTGTTTTCGGCAGTAGTGTCTCTGTAAGCGAGTGCCGCCAGCTCTTTCATTTCCTAGAGATGATATATGCAACGTAAATAAACAAAAACAACAATAATAATGATAATAGCATCAATAGGCAAACAAGTGTTTAACTGGCTAAATATCGCTTCTTCTAATTGTACATATATAAAGGATTTGCGTATGGGAAAAGGTATATATTGTATATATTAATTAATACAAAATATATTTGAGGTAATTCTCAGTGATCACGTTTCAAAACAAGTTATGTCAATAGTATTTTAGAAATGAAACCGTTTGCTTAAAAACATATGTTTCGCAAGCTACTTTATAAATTGCCACTGTGTAAACGTTGCCCTATTGAAAAAACTATTCATATCGTTTACTTACCTGTTCGTGCACTTGCTTCATGAATTCCAACTCTTCTTCGAGTGTCTGGCGTCTGTTCTCAGCGTCTATATGATTTAGAGTTTCATTGTCCAGATCCTGAATAAGTAGGCGAGCAGAGGGGGGTGAAGAAAAAAATGTTTATTTTAATATTTATTTGAATGAAATTAATAGGGTCCCCGAAGGCTTTTTCCCCTCTTTCTCTCTCTCTCTCTCTCTGTCCCTGCTTGTTAGTCTATAAGAGTGAATTAAATGATTTAATCACTTTGCCAACTGAAAGGGTTGAATGCGTATAGAGAACCAGCCAACTTGTTCTCAATACGATCAACAACAGTTGAAAAAACTCTAAAGAGTTTTTACTATGTCTATTGCGTCGTAGACAGAGAGAAAGAAAGGAAAAAAGAGCCAAAAACATAAAAAGGTATCATTTTTCTTACAATTCTGGCTCTGTTCAATGCTTCCGTTAGTCTTTGAATCTCTTTCTTGTCTCTTTCGCGATCAGTCTCCAAAGTGTCGACTCTTCTCCTCAAGAGGTTAATTTCGCTCTCGTACTCCGATAATTGTTGGTTAGACCTTTCAATTTTTTCCCGATCAACGGCTCTAGCTTGCTGAAGATCTTCGCATCTAGAATTACAAACGACAACCGAATAAGTCTAAACACGTTTCGTAAACGTATCATAATTAATTCAAAAGGTCGTTAACTGGTCATAAAATAACCTTCGAAACACTTCTTTTGATGATTTAACAGGGGAATATATATATATATATATATTCTCTCTATACATCTTTTTATATTAACTATTTGGAAAGAGAATGAATATTCACAATCTTTATTCATTGTTGGCTTTCTTTCATTCATTCATTCTTTCCTTCTCTCCGTCAGACTGAATACAGACTATAAGTAGGTCTATCAGTCTGTCTATGAGATGATTTATGTACGTGCATTTATGTGCTTATATTTGAATTTGGATTGCATAAACCTATTCGAATTTGTGTTGATATTTGTTTGTTTATTTGTTTACTTATCTATCTATCTATTTATTATCGTTTTGTTGTCGTTATATATCTATCTGATGTGTTATACGTTGGCTTCCAAAAGGAAAATGTTATTGGGTTTGGTCTATGAAAAGTATTAACAATAGCATTAAATGAATATGGAAGGAGGAGGAGGAGGGAAAAACGTAATTAAATATAATGATATATAATGGATTGTAGCGAAATTTGATGATGATGATGATGATGAGAAAAAAGTTGTCACATCGAAATTGAAGAGGAAAGAGGAGAAGAAGGCGAAGGAAAGAGAAAAATTAGATTGATAGAAATGTAGGGGAAATAAAAGTAAAAAGTCAATGAATAAACCATCCAGTTTATTGGAGATAGCCACTTGGCAGGAAAATAGACCATCAGATGACTTTATATTGCCAACTTCCGGCTATCGATAAAGTAGCCAAGAAGGGGAGGGCCAAGAGTTAAAAGTCTCTCTTAGAGTGTTAAATAAATATTGATATTTTAAATTGTAGAGTTTGCCGAGTAACCTAATGGTTTTCGAAGTTGGGTGTAAGAATGGAGAAGGGAACCGGAATTTTAAAAATAGCCGGCTATATAAGGAATATTGAAAAACTATTCAAATTTAGTCATTCATGCATGCATGCTAGCCGAGAAGATCCGTTCTCTATTTGCGTACGGACGCTTCAAACGAACTTATTCAAATTTCTCGCGTTTAAAACAAACAGAATCGGCTTGACGGGGAATAAATCACGTCCGTACCTGACGACACCCAAAATTCACATTTTCATAAGTTCATATTTGGTTAAAAAATTTAAATATTTCTCTTTTTTTCTCTGTTTTTCCCCCCGTCTTTTTTCAACAGTCGCTCTTTCTTAGAAGAAAAGAAAGATGGTATTTAATAAGAAACTAGGAAAAGTACTTTTCAAATTTTCCTTTTCTTCCTCAGCTTTCTAATCCAATACGTTAATCAATTCATAAATGTCACTTAATATACAAATGCAGCCTATAATATATTCCTACATTTCAATATCCTTATTTTTACAGACAGGTATGGTTAAATATAACTAGACGGACAATTATATATATTGTATATATACAGTAGACATAAAGGTGCATTTATATGTTTGTATGAACATATATACTGTATATATATATATATATATATATATATATATATATATATATTAGTATTTACACCAGTCTATCCCTTTTCATTCTACATTGTATATGTTGGTAATTTGTATACAACAAGATTTGGTATGTATGATTATCAACTCTAGCTGGTTGTGCATATTGTTCAAGTTGAATATGATACTCTAATTGTAACCCTGAATGACTGAATGAATTTACAAGGTTTAGTGAGGGTGGCGCTGCTACTAAGTTTTAAATCGAATAAAAAAGGAAGCAGCAAAACATTCTCTAATGGAATGTTTCTGTAGAATGTTGACAAGAATTAAATTCAACTTACTTCCTGCGAAGTTCGTCAATCGTCTGCTCCAAACTTGTGCACTTTATCTCCAAAGTGCCCTTTTCCTTCTCCGCCTCGTCCAACAATTTTCTCGCTTCGTCCAATTCCGCCTGGTACATAGCCTTAATGGCGGCTGTCTCTTTTCCCCACTTATTCTTTAGATTCTCCAATTCTTGGGCGAGTTTTCTGTTTTGTGCTTCCAAGAATCTAACCTTCTCTATGTAGCTGGCAAATCTTTCGTTCAGGTCTTGCATGTCCTTCTTTTCTCTTTCGCGTGACGTTTTTACATTATCGACTCCGACGCTCGACATGGCAGCGTAGGCACCGCTCGGTGCACCGTAAGACATGTTCGACGTTGACCTTTCAATCGAATAACCCGAACGACCAGGAGATCTAGCAGGACCCATCGAAGTTCTCTGGATAATCGTAGTCTTCTTACCCATGAGTGGTCTTCGGCTGGCATCATCGTCTAGAGAAGAGTTTGTTCTCGACTCGTAAGTTGTCGTACGAACCGTACTTGGGCCCTCGGACGAGGAAAATTCTCTGGTGGCGCGTACACTCATTTTTCGCGAACTGAATGAGCGACAAGGCCGCTTCCCTTTATTCTTCTCACGACACCTGGCGGCCGAATCGACGTATTTCAGACATTGATATTGAATTTGAGCCTATGGCTTAGGTTCTATTGATTTTTTAACGATATAAACATTGCTGTTCCCTTTTTCAAGGTTTATTTATTTTTTTCTATAACAGAGCGTCACAAAAACAACAGTTAGTAATTAATAACCTTAACGTTGATAAATAATCTGTTAGCTATTGATTTCCTCTGTAAATGATAAATAGACGACTACTATTTTTATACGTAGACAAGCAAGTAGACAGAGCTGGGATAGAGAGAGAGAGAGAGAGAGAGAGACAGACAGACAGAGGAAGCAGTAGTTTGATTACCCATATATGCATAAGTGTATTATTAAAGAAATGGGCGTCACTGCACTATATCATTTGCTTTTGTACAATTACACGGAAGGTTAGAGTTAAGGGTGAAAGGGAAGCGAAAAAATACTTGTAAGCATATAACTGTTATTGAGAAATACTTGATAATAGAATGAAATATTGAATAAGTATTTGTCTGAAAGATATTACATAAAAAAAGAAATATCCTTATTAATAAGGGAAATATTATTTTCAAGCTGGGCTCTTTAATCGCATGAGCTTTTACAACCTTGCTCGAATTTATTTCTTTTGTCAAACAGTAATAAGACAGACAAAGCTTTCAAAGTATGAAATACGCTTTAAATTGTTTGCAAAGGACGCGACCCAAAAGCTGGGTTAAAGGGATCTACCGAATAAAGGGTAAACTATAACCAACGAATGGAGGAGACCTTGCACGGTTCAAAAGAGAATCTATCTAGAAATAGAATGAAAGGAGAGGGCGTGTGTGAGGGTGTGTGGGAAGGAAGGAGTAGGAATGAAAAAAATGAATATATATTAATAAATGAATAAACTAATATAAATATAAAGAGAGAAAGACAGAAAGAAAGAAAAGAGAGAGAGAGAGAGAGAGAGAGAGAGAGAGAGACTAGCTATTTGTTTAGGCGAAATAACTTGCGGGGAAATAGCCTGAGAAAATTAAAAAAAAAAAAATTAAAAAAAAAACTTAAAAGGTCTTTGATAAGAGCGTGCTGTTGAATGGGGGTTGAACGTATAATTTGGGTAATAATTAATATGGTATATTGTATTTTGAGCCGGCTGGCTTAAGTATATTGTGGAGAAAGCATTAGGATTCTTGCAAAATGAGAGGGTTAGGGCAGGGGGGTAAAGAGAGAGAGAGAGAGAGAGAGAGAGAAAGACTCCCCCACGTTGAATCTGCAAAAAGGGGAAAATTGAAATTGAATTGATTTGACGAGTAAATAAGACTACTAATAATTACATGTAAATATGTATTGTAAACAAAGCTAACTGAGAAATGAAGATAAAAGTAAAATTAAAATAAAGTGAATTAAAATTTGTATAGTTTTACAGGTTGGTGTAAAATATTTCTCAGTCAGATTCTATTTAATCTTTTTATACTGAAAACAAATAGAATTTGCATTTACAATTTCTTTTTTAAGAAAAAAAAGAAGAACATATTTTTTATTCTTTCCCTCTTTCTTTTATTTTTAGAAATTTTTTAACATCTAAATATAAACTTTATTTATCTTTTTGTTTTTTTCTCTCTCTATCTCTCTTCCTTCCTGACATTCATTCATCTATCCATCTATCTACCTATCTATCTATCTATTCATTCTTTTATTCGTTCATTCATTCGTTCATTCATTCATTCAGTAATTCTCTCTTTATTTTCTGATTTTTTATTCAGGTCAAATCCTATAATAACCTAATCAGTCCTATTAGAATTATTATTTTTTTTCTCAGACAGCAGGCTCTCCCTCCCTCTAACCGTTTATCTATCTATCCGTTCATCCATCCATGAAGTCAAGGAAACAATTCACTCATTCATTCATTCGTTCATTCGTTCATTCGTTCATTCGTTCGTTCGTTCGTTCGTTCGTTCGTTCGTTCAACTCTTTTTCTCTACCCCTAAACCCTCTCCTACTCTTTTCCCTTTCAACTCATTAAGTTCTGTATTTATTATTTATATTACTTTTCATATATCGCAAACTATTAATTTAGGGAAAAATTTAGTCGATTACAATACGAAAACAATTGTTGTCTTCCATTTATAAAAAGGAAAAAATTGATTTTTATAAAAACTCATTTTCACTCTCTCTCTCTCTTTCTCTGCTGGTTTCCTATTTAAGCCTACACTGTTGCCATCTAGTAAGAAATTTATTATTTTTCTTTTACAACTTTCAAAGCATTGTTAAGAGTTGCTTGTTTAAAATATAGAATTTCGTGTATTAAAATTTCTTGACAGTTTTTAACTATCGACAATAGATTCTTTCTTACTGTGACGCAATCGGCAGTCGTCAGGTTTTCAGCAATCAGATGAAGGTTAACGGTTTTAGACGGTTTGCTGGTCTGATTTCGGGACCAGACGTCTAGTGAATATATTATTCAAAGGCCGCGGTGATTTTTTTTGTCTCTTTTTTGCGTTTTCGGCTTATAGGGAAGAAAGGGAAAGTCTATTAGTTCGACTGCATTTATATTTCTATATAAGTAACTATTTCCTCTCTATATAAATTTATACAGTATATAGAAATGTATGTGTTTGTTTGTTTCTGCTTTGCTGTTCGTCCATCTACATCTCTCTTTCTTCCTCCTCCCTCTCCTCCTCTTTCTCTGTCTGTCTATGAGTGGTTTTGCTTCTTTTTAACTGGCCTTTAGGGATTCGTCATCGAATAAAAATTCTTTAGATCAGTCAGGAATTCACGCGGCCTAAAATTAGACGTCAAATACTAATTTACAAAGAAAATATAAATAGGAGATTTAAAACAATTTACCGTGTCCGAGTTCAAATCGTTAATCTTAACTCATCCTACCTATTACGCACATAGAGGATAAGCCTTAATTCAGATGCCCAGTCACGTCCTAAAAACCCAAAAAATTTTAATATTCAACACATAGTTCACTAGAATTGAGCTCAAACCGGAAGTCGTTGAAAAGAAGAAAGGAAAAATAATGGGAAGAAGAAAAAGAAGAAGAAGTACTGATTGATTAATATACTTGTACATATAGTATGAGTGATAATCGAGAGAAGATCTTTTTGTAAACGGTTTTAGAATAAAGTGGTGCGATTCAAACAAAAATGAATTGAACGTCTTTTTTTTGTTTTGTTTATTTGTATGCTTTGAATAGATAGAAATGGAATGTTAATAGTAATAAAGTTGAATGAAATTTGAACTGCTTTAACTTTGATTTTCTTTTGGGAAAAATGCTTTAAATTCCTGTTTTATGTTTTATTAGTTTTATTCTTACTATTATTATTATTATTGTTATTATTAAATAACAGGTTTCTTTTACCAAATTTTACGTAAAATTCAATATTGAACTGTACAAATGATAAAGAAAGAACGACATAATGGACAAATTTCTTCTCTTCAACTTTTTCTCCTACTATAGTCAATTGTTTGCGTACATTTTATTCATTTTTTTATATGTGGCTAGAAGAAGGGAATTAGTAGAAGCAGAAGAAAAAAACTGGTTTTTGGGTTAGGGCTAGACGAGGACGACGAAAGGCGGCAATATCAATTAAATTGGCTAATCAAATAGTAATTTGTTTGTGGGTGGGGGGAAGGGGGAATGTGCGGTTTTTTAAGCTTTCAAAGAACTAGGTAAATTATTGTAGGCAGAGAGAGGGAGACAAAAGGGAGAAAGAAGATTAAATGACGGGACGAAGGGACAAGTGGATTAAAGTGAAGAGGGAGGGAGAGAGAGAGAGAGAGAGAGAGAGAGAGCGAGAGAGCAAACAAACAAACAAACAAACAAACAAACGAAGGAGGAGCGTGACCGCCTACTTAAGTAAGGTATGCGAGAGAAATCGCCCAAAATAATAATTTTCTATGGAAATATTTATATTCGGAATACTTTTTACAGTTTTATTTGCAAAGACTAACAAATGCGTTCTAAAATTTAAATATAGCTAAAATAAACAAGCACAGACATGAAGAATTTTTAAAGGTTCAAAAGAATCTAGGATTAATTTTTATAGGTTATTTTTATTAAATCTTAGGAAAAGAGGTTTTAACTAAATTATACTACTTTTCCCTTTTCATATTATATCTAAAATATCAACAAATAACAATTATAACAATTGCTCCTTTATGTCTTCGATTTCTCTTTACTGACCTATCTTTAAGTTTTCATTTTTAGTTTTACCCATTCTACCCTTTCTAAGTTGTCTCTTTTTCTTTCTCACATCCAGTGGCAGACAGTTTTTCTCTTTCTATTTCTCCTTTCTTTACAGAGAGGGAGAGAGAGAAAGAATAGTTTTCGTAAGCGTTGTAATATTTGTATTGAAATGTTTGAAAACGAGTAAATAAGCGGAATACATAAGGTAATTAAATAGATGCATTGGGCAATGAGAAAAGTCATTGATGATATAATTACCCTTGTTTCACTTAATAAGGAGAAAGTATTCATTGAAAGTATATTGTTTATAAGTATTTATTATCTAATAATACTAGAGTAGTAGATAGTAAAAGGACTATTTAACACGAACAGTCTATTTAGTGTGTATAACGTATATATGTAAAAATTGTCGTTTCTTTTCAAATAAAACTTTATACAAATCATTGCTTAAGCTCTTCATTTAAAAAGCAATAATTATAGATTCGCATTTATATTCAATAGCTCAAACTCGTCCGTTAATTTACTTGTTAATAATGAGTTAATAGTCGCCTTTTACTAAAAATTTGTCATAAATTCTCAATAAATAAAACAAATCCAATTCAACAAAAGAGATTAGATTAGCGGTAGACGCTTTTCTTCTTTTCTATTGTTAATACAGTCTATACAGCTCTTGAATTATAGAGTATATCAATTTATTTTCCATCGTGCATTACACTTTACAGTTTTACACATTCTGTGTAAATACATAGAAACAAACATCTCGTTCTTTTCATTCTTTTACAACAGTCATA